CCGCCAGCCCTACCATTGGCCTGGATAAGAAGACTCGCCGAAAGTTCCTGGACCTGGGGTGAGTGATCAGAAACAAAGGCTTGGGAATTGGGTAGCACAGTGGGCAGCGCTGTTCCACTCCCCCTTGCCCTCCCCACAGGGTCACCTTACGCCGAGCATCCACTAGCAAGAGCCGGAAGGAGAAGGGCAGCAACCGTCTGTCCATGGGCAGCAGGTGAGAGGTACCCACAGCCCCTCAGCCACAGCTTCTGCCCGTCACTCCCTGTGGTTCCAGCCCCCTCCTCGGTGCCCACACCCATGCAGCGTGCTCTCTCTGCAGGGAGTCGGTGGAGGGGTCCGGCAGGTCAGGGGGCTCCCCGTTCCTGCCCTTTTCCTGGTTCACAGACAGTGGCAAGGGCTCCGCATCTTCTGGCAGCACCACCTCCCCGTCCTGCTCCCCTAAACGCGAGGGTTTCAGCCCTAAGAAGTCAGCTTCTCAGGTAAGTCCGTGGCCTTCTGGCCTCCATACTGGTCCCCAGACTCAGGTGACAGGACATACTTCACTCTGGCTTGGGCCTGGATCCAGGCATTCCTGGAGTCCATTTGTCCATCCAAGGAGCCATTCGATGATCATTAATTCATCTAGTCTCTGAGTTCAGGCATTCACTTGTTTGTATGCAGAGTGGTTCCTTTGTTGATTCATTCATTGCTGTCTCCATTCAACACACGTAACTGAGCACTATGATCCCCTAGTACACACCCAGCCTGAGAACTCTTCTATTTCTGCTAACTCTTCTGCCTGGCTCAGTTCTGACTCCACATCCTGTATTAGGAGCTGGACTACGTGTGGTACAGTGAGGCTGGTGGGAACAGAGATGAACAGGACCACAACCTAGCTAGTGCTTGGAAAGTTCACAACCCTGTGGGTGAAGCGAGACCAAGGAACAGAAGCAACAATGAGCACCTATTTATGTTCACTAGGATTCTGTGGCCTACAAAGCTCCAAAAGCATTGTTGTTTACCCTCACAAAGGCTCAGTGAAGTAGGGAGGGCAGGCACACTCATCCCTATTGTGAAGTGAAGTGAAGTGAAGTGAAAGTCACTCAGTCCTGTCTGGCTCTTTGCAACCCCATGGACTGTACAGTTCATGGAATTCTCCAGGCCAGAATACTGGAGTGGGTAGCCATTCCCTTCTTCAGGGGATCTTCCCAACCCAGGGATTGAACCCACGTCTCCCGCACTGCAGGCAGATTCTTTACCGACTGAGCCACCACTCATATTGTACAGATGGGCAAATGCAGGCCCAGATTGAAAGGATTTGCCTACAGACTCAACTGAATTTAGATGCCAGGCTCTAATGACCTTTAGCGCTGTGCTTGTTCTGTGATTCTGTTCCTGTGTGCAGCCAGGTGAGAGAAGATCAGAAAACTGTAAATTCAGGGGAGAAAGTGTCCCTCTTCTACACCCTCCCTCCATCCCTCCCCTTCTTCCATTGTGCTGGACCCTGGTGAACAGACACAGCCCAGGCCCTCGTAGACCTCAGAGTCCAGTGAAGACACGACATCTAACCAGGCTTTTATAAGCCAGGGTGCTGGAGGCCATGCTGGAGAGGCTCAAGGCAGGAACACCTGACCCAGCCCCGGGAATCCCGGTCAGCTGTCAAGGAAGCGACACCAGTCTGACCTCCATTCTTGCTAACTCCTCAGTTCTAGCCCTGCCGCCTCCCAGAGACCTCAGATCCCAACGCCTGCCCTAAGCTGCCTTGCTCTGTGCCTTGCTCTGTGCCTGCCCAGCTCCTGGTTCACATCCAAGGGCCCTGAGAGACCCCTGGTGCCTGGCCCTGGACTTCAGCTCCATCCGAATGGGGATGGTGGGTTGCGGGTTGCTGCCTTGGGCTTGAGGTGAGCTCTCTCCTCAGCGGTATGCCTGCTTTCCATCTAGGAATCCACCCTGAGTGATGATTCCACACCCCCCAGCAGCAGCCCCAAGATCCCAAGTGGTCCCCGGCAGGCGGCCAAGTGTTCCTACCCCTACCACACTCTGTCCCAGTCTTCCGATGAGGTAAGCAGGCCCTGACCTCTGACATAGGTTGGGGGGGCCACAGGGCACACCTTGCCCCTCACTCTCCTTGGTCTCCACCCCAGTTTCTGGATGAGCCTCTTCCCACCATCTACCACTGGACCAGTCAGCAGGTGGGCCAGTGGCTGCAAAGCCTCAACCTGGAGCAGTATGCTGCTGAGTTTGCCGCGCGGCAGGTAGATGGGCCGCAGTTACTGCAGCTGGATGGAAGCAAACTGAAGGTGGGTTGGGGTGGGGGGACCACCACCCAGTTGGATCCCTGAGGCAGCCTTCAAGGATTGGGATCCCCTCATCCTGACCTTTCCACTCGCTTTAAGGCCATTGCCCTGACCTCTGCTCTCTAGGCAAGATCCTTGATCTTTGCTCTCTAGCATGGATTCCCTCCCAGTCTTGACTCCAGCCCAAATCCTCAGTCTGACCTTCGAGCTCCAGCCAAAGTCTTCAGGTTGACCTCTGACCTTGAGGACTAGCCTATCATCTGACTCTTGACTCTAATGAGCCTCCCCTGGTCAGCTCATCTGAATTTTGGAGCCTTCATCTCTAAGACTAAAAATCTTGGAGGCTGGTGGTTGTGGGAGGCAAGTAGAGGGAGGGAGAGAGGGTGTCAGAGGTGGTGCTCTGATCTTTGTTCTGGGGGTTTCTGGTCTGTTTTGCACCATCTGCTGAGTTGCTTGGGGAAGCAGTGATGAGGAGAGTCCCCCAGAAGTCTTTGGAACAGGAAGGGGCCTCAGCTATTGACGGGCTGTGTGACCTCGGACAAACTCGCTTCCCATCTCTGGGCTCAGGAACCAGGCAGGATTATTCCAAGGCTGAAATCCTGAGTGGAGGGATGGGAGCCAAGGATTAGGGTGGGGAAGGGGCAAAGGGCCTGGAACCCTGCACCATTTACCCTCATCTCTCCCAGCCACTCCCATTCCAAATTTCTGCCCCGAGGGTCCTGATCCATCAGCAAGCCTGGGAGGAGGCGGCTGAGGGCTGGCAGAGCTCCATCGAGAATACACCTGGGGCACAGAGAACCCCGGGCGTGGGTTGGCCAGGTGTCGGGCTCTGGGGCTCTTCACTTCTCCCTTGAATTCCTCCCCCAGAGTCTGGGGCTCAGCAACTCGCACGATCGGGCGCTGGTGAAGCGGAAGTTGAAGGAGCTGGCAGCGGCCGCTGAGAAGGAGCGCAAGGCCCAGGAGAAGGCTGCACGGCAGCGTGAGAAACTCCGGCGCAGGGAGCAGGAGGCCAAGAAGAGCTAGGCAGACGGGAGGGCAGCCACTGGTACCCAGCACTGAAGCTGCTGGGCTCTGCGGGCACAGGCCGTCTTAGGAGGCGGGGCCTGGGCACCAGGCTTGGGTTGGCCTGGCTCCATGCTCTCAGGAGGAACAGCCCTCACCCTGTCATCTGTCTGGACCCAGATCCCTCACAAAGAGAGACCCAGGGGAGAAGACCCAGTAATAAATCCCCTTGCAAGGACTTTTTGGCACAAAGTTCCTGGGGGGAAGTGGCAGATTATGGGCAGAGAGGCCAGGGCTGAAGCAAATCAGGGAGCCCAGAGGTGCCTGAGTGATTCTGACCCTGTTCCCTCAGGCCATGGGGGTCCCGGGGTTGCCAGTGAACTAGGAAGCCTGTGTACTTTCCAGAGGCCCTGGGCTCGATAGATGGGCTGAGCCTCTCTGCAGCAGCAGGTGGATAAAGTAGTTCCTTCCCAGCTCTCCCATGTGACTGCGTGTCGAGAGAGCTCTGCAGGAGGCTGGTGGGCCTGCAGCAAGTTGCACTCAGAGCAGACTCCTAGTCTGCCCTCCTCAACAGGAGAGGAGAGAAAGCGGCACGATTATCCTATGTCACCTTTGCAAGGGCTTTAGAAGGGAGGGAGGGCTTTCAGTGGTAAAATGATGCCCTTGCAGGTCTGCCCCTCCTGAGGCCCACACAAAGCCTGGGTTTTGACCGACTCTCCAAGTTGGGCCCACTTCTGCTGCTCCTGCAGAGGCCACCTGGACCCTCCCTGAAGATGGCGAACTTGGGAACTGGTGGGGACAAATGACACCATCAATGCCTAGATGGCCCTTAACTGGTGAATCCTCACCTCAGCCAGGCAGAGAGGCAAAATCTGGGAGGCCCCCTGAAAGCTGCTAAATTGAAAAGGTTCATCAGCCCTCCCCGGCCTGTCCTGGTTCTTAACAGGGCCTCGGTGGGCTCCAGAACTGGCAGACAGGAGGGGTGGGGCCCGCTCCCTGGGTTGGGGTGGAAGCCATCCCAGCAGCCCAGGGAAGATGTCTGTCCTTCTAGGGTGAGTGTGTCCAGTGTCCAGGCATCGTGCTGGCCAGTGGCTAGCCCAGCCTTTGCAGCACTGGCCAGAGTTAGCAGTAAGGTCAGAGGCCTCACACAAGAAACCTCCCTTCACCTCCTCCCACCAGCCTGGAGCAGCAGACAGGCCCCCATATTCACCCACTCCCCTCAATCCAGCCCAAGGGCTGTGGCTGTGACCCCTGTTCTCTGGGTCTTAGTTCTTTTTTCCTTTCTGCTATCTGTGCTGGGAGAGGGGCTTCAGAGGGGGGACTGGACGTGGGGGCACTAGTACCACCTGGGCCCCAGAGGGGCTGGTAGGAAGGATGGAAAGCTCCCAAGTCCTTGAAGCCATCAGGAGCTATCTGGGTGCCCACCTGCATGTGAAGGGGGAGGCGGTACTTAGTTTCTTTCAATAAACACTTATGACGTGCCAGTGACCTTCCTGTTTGCCCCAGCTCGGGGGTGGGCTGGGCTCTAAGTGTGGCAGGGCCCCAGGTCTGTCACTGGGAGCTGCACCATCAAGAGTTCTGAATGGACGGCTGTGGCCACTGTTGCACTTGGCATGCACTGGGTCATGTCCGGAGCACGTCTCATGTTGGTCACAGGGACTGCAGTCTGCATAAATTTGTACAAGAGGATCTCCCTCCCCCAGGAAAGCAGATGGGCCGCAGTCTCATTCCATCTCCTCTTTACTGTAGATGTCATTGTCACCATCATAGCCACTGGGAGGAGCACACAACTTTAACCCCCTGTGTGCTAAGGGGAAGGGTAGGGGCATTCGGGGCTATAAAACTAGCTATATACACACAACATTCTAGGGAGAGAGCCACCCCAAGCACACACCGTGTCCAGGCACAGTGGGAGTTGGGGTCTGCTCAGGGGAGACCGTGGGCGATGGGTAGGTGTATACACATGAGGACATGCAGGGGAAGGGCTCTGGAAGTGGCAGAAACATTGCTGGGGTTACCGACAGGGAGGAGAGGCTGGGCAGCTGACCTCTGTGTCCTCCCAGATTATTCGGCTTTAGGGGTGAGCCCCAGGTGAGAAACCCCTCCCTCCTAACTTTGACCTTAGAGAGGAGGGAGAGACTATAGGACCAGATCCCCAGTCAGGGGTCCCCTCCCACTACCCCAGATGTGGCAGGCACCTGGCCCCTTCCCGACACTGACACCAGACCAGCGCCAGGGTACCGGCATGGGCCAGGACAGTAAGGCAAGCAGGGGCGTCCACTTGGAAGGCCAGGGCTGTGGTGGGCAGTGAGGGGGACCGAGGGCCCCTGGCAGAGAAGTGGCAGCTCTGGGCTGAGAGAGGAAGACTGCCATGGAAACGTATCTCTGGAACACCCCATCAGGATGGAGACATCCTCCAATCCTCAGGCATTGCCCACAGAGACTGGACCCAGGGAGACCACCAAGGGGTCTCCATGGAGACAAGAGATTGGCACTTAGGGGCCACCACAGACTAGTCACTGCAGTGATTTCCAAAGAGACAGAAGCTGGTCAACAGGGAGAGCCTCCTGCACCTGGGGGGGGCGGGGAATGGGGAAGGTCACCACGGTGGCTGGACCCAGAGACAGCAGTCCATTCTCCTGGGTGTAGGCAGCTCCTAGCTCACACGGTACGTGGACGTGTTCTTGGGCTCCGTGCTGGGCACACACCAATCGCCGGCCTCCTGGATGGTCTGGTAGTGGCGCCAGGCTGACTTGTTGTAGACAGGCAGGCGCTCCACTGAGTCCGTGGACAGGGCCTGAGGGGCATCAGGGTCAGCCTCTTCTGCTTTTCTGCACCTTTCCCACCCCCTGGAAGACCACCCTTGCCCAACGGTGGGCTCCAGTGGCCACTAACTGTGGCCCACATGTCAGCCCAGCCAGGCGCCACACTGGCTGAGATGACTAAACCAGAAAGACCCATGAAAGCGTCTGTCCCTTCTGTGGCTTGCTCCTGCCCGTTTAAAAAGGCTGTTCACTTTAAAGGTCAGGGAGGAAGAGGGAGGAGGCCAGCTGTGTGACCTTGAACAAGGTCACCAGCTCTGGGCCTCAGTCGCCTCCTGAGCTGAATGAGTTCTCCATGGTTCCTCACAAGTCAAGGCTTCCCAGAACAGGATCTTTACTCCTGCACCACAGACCCTGAAACTGCCTGCCAACTTAGGAGCGCCTGGTGGCTGGGGAACTGTAGCTCTGCTCTGATTCTCAGTCTGAAATCAGGAAAAGATTGGAGGGATGGAAAAGAAACCTAAGAACAGGCCCGACCTGTCAGCAACCCACCCCCGCCCCTTGGGTGGGGTTTGCAGGCAGGGGCCCTCACCTTGAGATAGATGACAGCATCGGTCCCAAAGCCCTCCATGGAGAAGAGCTGCAGGTCCCCCTGGAAGTACTTGGCATAGAGGCGGGAAATGGGGAGCCCATACCCGAAGCCAGCCTGCAAGGAGGCGAGAAGGGAGCGCAGTGAGACACTGGGCCTGGGCTCCCTGGAGCTGCAGGGACCTATATGCTGAGTGAGGACGGCTCAGCTGGGGTCATAGAGGGGGGTCCCAGCACCAGGGTGAGGAGGGGACAGGAAAGAGGGACAGCTCGGAGACAAGATGGGGATGGTCGGGAGAGGGGAATCAGTCCAGTGGAGAGAGGAAGGATGCAGGGCATGGTGGGGGTGGGGAGCATGGCAGGGCAGGAGAGGACGCTGGCTCTGGTAGTTAGGGGTCTGCACAGGTCACCGGGCACCTCTTTGTCTCTATTTCCCACACTTAGTCCCGCCTATTCCACTGGGAATGGACACGGAGGTGCTGGTGAGCTGAATAATGCCAAGAGAGAGGTAGTTACTTGTGGAGAGAGAGAGAGGACAGGGATAACTGAGGAAAGGTGACAGACAGACACCCACTGACAGGTAGGGAGGTGCAGGCTGGGGAGAGGGAGGAGGAACAAGGAGGCCCAGACTCCGAAGAGGGAACTGACATCACACACAGCCTGCAGCCTCCCATGGAGGGACCATGGGAGGTAGGGAAGCAAGTGATGGGCACGAGTGACAATTTGATAAGAAGAGACAAGAAGACTGACACGCATTCTTCAGGCTGGGGGGAACTGGAGTGAAGCCAGCTCACCAGTGGGGTTCCCCCGGTGCCAGGCTGGGGCGTGGGAGCTGTGGAGTACATGTAACTGAAGAGTCGCTCAATCTTCCTCAAGGGAACACCCCCACCTCGGTCACTCATCTGGGGGAGACAGGACGTGTCAGGGTCTCTAGAGCTCAGTTTTCTCCACACCCCATCCCTGATCTTCTCAGGTCTTCCTCACCCCCAGCGTCTTCCCTAAGCCCATCTCCTGGCAGGAGGGAAGTCTCCATACCACTGCTCTCTGGCCCTCAAAGTCAAGGGTCACATACTTTGATGGAAAGATCTTCCTCGCCCAAGGCCACCATGACCTTGATAGGTGGAAGAGTGAGGCTGGATTCATGGCTTTCCACAGTTGCTCGCATGGCATTCTGTAGTGGAAAACATGATAAGATACAGTGAGAGCAGCCTAGACCTAACCACCCCCCACCCTCACAAAGGAATATCCCCCAGTCTCCTCACCTTGAAGAGTTCAAAAAGCATGTGGTAGAGGTGGGAGGGGACATAAACCATGTGAATTGGCTGTTTGGAGTTGGATGCTGCCAGGGAAGTCCAGACCAAAGATCAGGAGATTGTCAAGAGGTCACCATTCAGCATTCATTCACCAGCATCTAACATCCAGCACTCAACCACCATCCATCGTCCATCCATCTGCTCATTCATTCATCCATCTTTTCATTCACTGTGTCCATTCATCCATTTACCTCTCCATGTAATATCCATCTATCATACAGTGTCTATCCATCCACCCACCCAGTATCCACCCATTCATCAATCATATCCATTCAACATCTATTCATTCCTCTATCTACACATCCAACCATCCAATTGTCTTTCAGTCTATTCATCTGGTCAAATGTCTATCTTTTCAATCTATCCATTCATTCAGAGTACAGATCCATCCTTCCATTCATCCACTGTTTATCTATCCCTCTATTCATCATTTATCCACTCAAATAGTATCTATCTATGCTACACTTAGCCTACTAGCATTCACCTTGATACCAGAATCCCCTGGAGAGCTTTTTCACCCAGGGGAGAGGGGAGGGGGTTACACAGGTGATCCTGACACCAGCATCCTACTTCCTAAGAATCATTCTAACCTGGAGAGTTTCTTGGTTTTAGGGACTGCATATCTTCCTGGTGCCTGGCACAGAGTTCTGTATGTAGCAGAAGCTCAATAAATGTGCAATGGATCAATGAATGAGGGAATCTGAGGCCCTGTGCTGGGCAAGTGGAGACAAAAAGCTGAATAAAATTCAGCCCTACCCTCTCAGAAATTCAAGTCTAGACAGAGAAATGCACAAGTCACTTTCACATCAGGTGCTGTACCCAGAGCTGTGTGCAAGGCTCTGGGCCTGATCCTGGGGATCCGGAAGTAAAGTGGCCTGTCTCTGCCCTTTGGTTTCTGCCCCCAAGTAATTTAAACAGTGCAATTTAGAGGTCCACTTGGGGCAGGCAGGGCCTAACTCCTCTCTGGGAGGTCTGGGGAGGCTTTTCAGAGGAGCTGGACTTGAATAGGCTCTTAAGGGAAGACTAGGATATGGGCAGTGTGACTTGCAGGCATAAGGCATAAACGCCTTATGTTTCTGGTGCACAGGCCAGAGTGGCTGAGGAGCAGGGCGGTGGTGGGGAGGGGAGAGGTAACTTCCAGGTCTCTGGTCCTCCTCACCCCTCCACCTCCAAGGTCTTTATCCAGTTCACCCCCTTTTCCTCTCTGCTGCCTTCCCCTCCCCTTGCCTAAATCTACAGTGACCTCCTAACTGGTCTTCCTGGGTCCTCTCCTGCCTCCTCCAACCTCTAAATACCTTTAGAATGTTACTCAGATCCTGTCATGACCGTGCCTCAAACCTCCAGTGGTTTCTCAAAATCCCAGCTCCCGTCTGTAGCCCATGGGCCCTGCATGACCAGCCTCTCTCTCCCGCCCTTCACCCCTTCAATCTCCTAACCCCACCACACTGGTCCTTCTGGTTCTCAACTACTCCATCAAAAGTAGGATCCTTGTAGCCATCCTCTGTGTCCATCATTCCCTTTCTTCTTTTAGTAATAGACGCCTACTTCCCCCAAAGTTTTAACTAGCATGTAACTGCTCAGCTAGAGACTAAATTCTCAGCCTCCTCTGCAGCTGGGAGACAGGGAAGTGGTGTGATCAACTCCCAGGCCCTGCCTTCCACATCCTCTTTCCCAAAACTTTGCCAGGCTGGAACTGAGACGTGAGGGGGTATAGCTGGCTTTGATCATTCTATCCCAGGGGCTAGCGAGAGGAAAACCTGTCTCTCAAATTAAGCATTTTTGGATTCCAGGAAGACAGCCAAACTGACATCCCATCTAATACACTGCTCCTACCCATGACTGTCAGGTTATCTCATTTTGTTTCCTTCCTGTCACATATCATGACCTGAAATTAGCTTGTTTATTATTCACTCACTGGTTAAAGGCCCCGTTCCCCAACCTCCCCAACACCAGGAATGTGAGCTCCATGGGAACAGGGACCTTGCCTGTTGTGTTTACTGCTTAATAAATATTTACTAGATAAATTAGTAATAGTAATATAATAATAGCTCTGCATCTCCCTCGTTTCCTGACTCCTACCTCACTTCCCTCTCCCATGTCCACAGCCCTTAGACACACACAGCCTTATTCGCTCACCATTGATCTCCTGGATCTCCAGGTCAGGAGAGGCCATGTAATACTTGTCACACAGGAGCTTGGCCATGTCGTAGGCATCTGAAAGCAGCAGGGGGTCATCAGGGAATGGGTGGCCTCCCCCCAGCAGGCAGTTCTCTTGGTATCAACAGTGGGTATCACCAACATTAAACCCATGGGCATGTGGCCCCCACCCACTGGGGAATGAATGGGTCACCCTCTGGTCAGGTAAACTTGGGGGTTCACTAGGGCTCCTCTGTTGGCCAGGCACAGTGAGGATGACTCACCCTTCACCACCTCAGAGACGTTGCAGTTGGGGTCGATGCTGCCGATGTGTTTGGGGTGGGCAGGGTTGGTTCTGCCATCAAAGAGCAGGGCTACAGGCAGAAACGGTGGGTGCAGTTGGCGGGGCCGTGTGCCTCAGCGCTCCCTCCCTCCTTCCCCTGGCTCTCCAGGACTTCACCTCTATTTCTAACCCTTCTGACCCTAACACCGTCTCCCTACCCTCCTACCCCCTCTCCTCTGACCAGACCCTACAACCTCGAATCAGGCCAGTTTTGGACCTTTGCAGGCCTGAAACATTCTTCTTCTCAGAAGTCTCATTCCCACACATTCTACATTATATTTAATTCTTCTCTTTTGCTATACATTAAAATAACTTTTACCATCTTGTGTATTTAATGATTGGCTATGATTTCGCAACACTCATAGTTAATTCTCCTAGAATAAGAAACTCTAGAAAACCACCTGTTTCCGAGTGTAACGAGATTGTTATGAACACCACAAAAAGAAGTGACACAGTTTTGCTTTCTGTAAACCTCTGAACACTGAATGGCCCTGCGCCCACTCACTGTGCTGGTTGATGAGCATGCGGATGGAGATGCGGCTGAGGTAGAAGCGGTCCAAGAAGTACTGGATGTTCTGGTTGGAGACGGGGTCGTCGCCATAGGTGTCCTTGTACTCCAGTACGCCCTGAGCCATTGTGGGCACCACGTCATTGTGGCGGTTCCGGATGGTGACCAGGGCGTCAGTGAACCTGCGGGGTGGGGGGTAGATGTTGGCTCTGGGACACCCTCCGACTCTCCCTGCTCTGCCCTTCTCTTCACACTGCCTTCACCCACTCGACTCTTCCCAGCCCACTGCTTCTGAAGGCCGCCCAGACCTCCCACTGCCTGCCTGGCAGCCTGGGAGCTCCACCGGGTGGGTCCTGGGTCCCCCCGCATCAGACACACCAGGATTGAGCGCTGTCTCCCCGCTCACCCTGCATAACCCCAAGGATAGGGGCATTTCCGTCATCCTACGGGCATTTCTGCCCCTGGAGCTGCGGCTCACACCTGCCCTCCCGCCCCCAGCCAGCGCCTCACTCACTGGCTCAGGGTCCGATGGTCCTCAGGGTCCTTGTCCAGGAACTCCATGATGTCCAGGAGACTCTGGACATACCTGTGCAGGAGGGGAGGGGGCATCACCTTAACTCAGGGCCAGGCCCCTGCCCACCGGACTCTGCCAACCCAACGTTTGCCCTGTGCCTGCAGGGGGCAGCGCAGAGTGGGCTGCACGGGTTGACAAGCTCCATCTGTGACTCCCCCGACAAGACAGTAAACGTACTGTGCAAGCAAACCTCTGATTTGTTGGTTCTCAGAGGGCCTTTGCTTTGCTGTCCTAGAAGAGCCGTCTTCGAAGGCGCTTGGAGGCCACCCCACCCACGGGGCTCCTGGTGAGAAGACTGAGGCCCAGACGGGGGAGGGGGCCTTGCCCAAGACCAGCGGTGACAGCAAGGCACTCAGCCTCCCCCGCCATCCTGGAAACAGACCTAGTGCCTGCCTGCCGGGTGGCTGCTGTATCCCAGCCCAGCGCTCTCACAGAGCAGGGGTTCAAGGAGACAACCTCACATGCTGACTCTGGACACCAGGAGCTGGCATCCTGTTCCCAGTTCCTAGGGAACTGGATTTTAAATGGTGGGTGGGAAAAACGAGGTTGGGGGGAGTTGGTGGGGGCTGGGCATGCCCAGCTCTGACACGGGGTGGGGCTGGAGCCCATGGAGAGCCTGAAGGGGCCCAGCTGCCTGGATGCTGTCAAACTGGAGCCACTGTCCCCCCCGTCCCCACTGTGAGGCAGGGAGCCACTGCTTTCCTACTAACACTCCAGCCCGCAGTAGCTCACTCTCTTGGGGAAGGCAGAGAGTTGAGCCTCTCTCTGGCAGAAACACTTGGGCTGGCAGGAAGAGGGGCCACTAGAGTCTGACCAGGGAGGGCCCTGGGGGCCTAACAGTCCCTCTAGAAGAGGTCCCACCATAATCCAAAGTCCCATGTACGCAGGGCTTTGACCTTAACAGTAAGAACAGCAGCAACAGCAGGAATCAGCCCCATTTCACAGTCTCCTCAATTGAGGCCTGAGGCAGTTCCACAGCTGGGAGGTGATATAGTGAAGACAGGCCTCCAGTGCTCCTGCCACTATACAGCGCTGGCTGCTCAAAAGGGCTCAGCCCCCTGGTCCTGTGTGGTTCTCTCTGCCTGGAATGCCCTGCTCCCTTCACCTACTGCCACTCTCCTCTCTCTTGCTTAACCCAGTAGAGAAGACGGTAAAGAGCTAGCTTTGAGGCTGGCTCTGCCAAGTCCCAGGCTGGGCTTTTCCACTTTGAGCTGTGTGGCTCTGGGAAGTCATGGAACCTCTCTGGGCGTGAGTTTCCTTATCAGAAAAAGGGAGGGTATTGTACCTACTGCTATCACTGCTTTTTGGTGAGAATGAAATGTGATAATTGACACAGTGCCTAGCAAATAGTGAGTACTCTAAATGCTTGCTCTTGTTATGAACAGTGGTTCAGACACTGTCAACAGCTGAGGAGGGCACCCTCTTAGTCCCCAGGTGGCACGTGACACACTCCTCTTGGTTACACTGGGCACAGGCTCTGAATCACCATGTTTGAATCTGTCATGCTCTGGACAGCCACGGAGAACAGATGGGGCTTTCCCAGCCCTGCTGCTGCTCCCAGCGCCTGGCAGGAGGTGGCAGAGTCACTCGTAGCAGAGGTGATCAGCTCTCCCTGGAACCCCCTCACCATCCTCAGAGCCCCAGCAGACAGTCAGAGCGGCCCTCCTACGCCCTCACCTCAGAATTCCTGGAGAATAACAATAGCCGCCGCTTACCCAGTGACCATCAGTGCTCACCTGTGCTCAGAGTCTACGCAGGGGCTTTCATCTCCCAGGAGCCTTCATGAGCATGTGCTATTTCCCCCTTTTGCAGATAAGGAAATCAGCTCAGAGAGGGCAGATAATATGTTTCAGGTCACACAGTAAGCATTCACACTGGGATTCAAACCCAGGTCTGTCTGATGCCAAGTCTACACAACATGGCCAAGTGCTCACTGTCTACACCGGTCCTAACAGTGATGCTGCTGATGTCCATGGTGAGGGCAACCAGTGTCTACCGGTGCTGGCCTTGTGCTAGGGCTCTGCTCTATGCTCCCCCAATTTAACCTCCACAATGACCCTGTGGGGGTGTGCTACTGCTAGACCCATTTCACAGATGAAGAAGTCAACATTCAGGGCCGGAATGCTCTCTCACAGGCCTGTTACTCCAGATCCCTGGATCCCATGCCCAAGAGAATGCTTCAGGCTCATGTGATTCTTAGAGGGAGAGGGGATTTGAGAGGAGGACCTGCAAGTATGTAATTGTAAAAACAGACAGAGACAGGAGAGAAAGGAGACCAGCTGGGGGTAGGTGCCCTGGAACCCCTTCCCAAGACTCAGAGAGCAAACAGAGAGGGAGGAAGTTGGAACTACAGGGCTCTGACCAGCTGGGCCAGGACTGGGGGTTGGTGACAGGATGAGAGCTCTCGCTGCTGGCCCCACCCCCTGTGGCTGCCTAATGAACCACCAAGGGGGGTGGCATGAAGTAAAACAAAGGGCACCAGGATGGACTGGCAGTGGGAGTGCCAGCTGGCACGGCTCTGGGGAGAGCTGCAGCCTCATTCAGGCCTCAGTCTCCTGGATTGTGAAGCAGGGATTAGAATCTCTGCCCGCCTTCCTCTGGGGGACATTCCATCAGGGGAGTGGTCCTGGGTGTACTCCCGGAAGGGAGAGGAGAGGATGACGAGAATTCTCCCAGGGGAACCGTGACTGGGCCTGAAACCCCTCAAGAGTCTGGCAGACCAGACCTTACCCGTGGTCCTGAAAAGGGAAAGGAGGGAGTGATGCTGGCTCCAAAACAGCCCACCCTGGAGGGGCAGAGAAAGAGTTGGGCTTAGACACGGACAGTCTGGAGCAGTGATGCAATGATAGATGCGTCACCTGCCCTGGGCCTGGCTGAACAGGCCAATGTGAAGCACTAGGGAAGGCCTGGCCTGGTGACCTCAGCAGTAAGCAAGGCCACCCAGGACTTCCTGGGTGACAGCTGGCGTGTCCTCCCCTCCCCTCTACCAAGTCAGGTGGAGACCCCAAACCCTGCCTTCTGGGGCTTTCCGGCCAATCCAGAGCCCTGGATTTGGCAGGTGGGAGGGGTAGAATTTGGTGAAAGGAGGGACCATGTGTATGCCTGTCTGAGTGTGTGTGGGTAAGCCTGGGTGTAGGGATGTCGGAATGAACACCTGGCAGAGTGGGAGGAGGCACACGCAGGCTTGTGTGGGCAGAGGAGTAGGGAGCCTGTGTGAGTCTGGACGCCTGTGGGGGTGTGTGTCCACAGCCGCTGGGGACCAGGGTGTAAACAAGGCAAAGGCCCTGCGAGGAGGGGAGAGGTGGAGACGTGCTGGTATCTGGAAGCTGCCTGTGGAGGGGCGCTGGGCACGGCCCTGAGCCAGGCCGACCTGGGCCCCATTGCTGACAGTGCTGCTCTCCGGTTCCAGTGTGTGAAGTGGGCTTCGCAACAGCAGGAGCAGATCAGAGGAGGCGATGCTGGTGGCCGATCCACTCGGATTACATAAGTGATGGCTGAGGGATTCAATGGCAGGTTTTGGCTAGAGCCCAGGGCCTGGCGCAGAGCAGGCCCTGGGTGCCCGGAACCAGTGAGGCGGTCATTCTTTTCAAGGGCAAAGACTACTGGGTTTGGTGTCCACACACCTTGCTGAGGCAAGGGAGGTTCATGAGAATGTGCCGTGGTACCCACTCTCACCCCCTTCCCATACTACACCCCTGCAAAGGCACTATTAGCCACAGGAGTGGCTCACTGTCATTTGATTCTACTCTGCAACTCTCACTCAACCCTCCATTTTCCAGATACATCCCCAAACTCCATGCCCTTTTTCAGCCTATCACTCTCCCCTGCGAGATGTAAAGGTTACCCCTCTGTGCCCCCGCAACACTAGCCATCAAATAATCTCTGTAAAGAAAATCTACTTTCCCGCTGACATGCTTTGCTTAGAAATATCTGACTCCTCCAGAACACGGCTCACTCCCTTTCCTTTGTGAGCACAGCCCCCAGATCACACAGCCTGGGTTGGAATCCCAGCTCCACCACTTACTACCTGATGAACTCAGGCTAGTTTCTTAGTCTCTCTGAACCTCTGTTTCCTCATCTACAAAACAGGGATGATAAAAAGGCCTACTCCGCAAGGTTGTTGTGAAGGGTAAATGAGTAAGGACATGCTCAGAGCAGCTCTTGATGGCCAGCAGGCCTTCCAGGGGTGATGGAGAGCAGGCCTTCCAGGGGTGTCTGCCTCTGTCATTGTCATCCACCACCATGACTACACTCTTAAGAGAACCTCTGCCACAGCACCTCATCTTTGGCCAGAAGGTGCTGCTGCCAGAAGATCACAGACATCACTCGTGTGTAGAGTTCGTGTACTTCCACATCCAGCAGTGGCATCTCACCCATTTTACAGATGAGGAAGCTGAGACTCAGAGGGGCCATGTGGTTGGCCAAACGTTAAGTATCCAACAGGCACAAAAGGCAAGCCTCAAAGTCAGGCATGCTGGTGCCACACCCAGGGCTTTCCTTCACCTTCCAGTCACCTCCAAAACAGGATCCCATGACCCCAAGTCAGTCCAGTCGAAATAATACATCAGGTTTGTTTAGAAACAGGAATTCTCCACTTGCTCACCTGCCTAGACCCTCTCCCCAGCTGAGTAGAAACTCCACTAGCTGTTGCCACGTGTTAACTACTGCCACCACTATTACCGACAGCATGTGCACAAGTCTTGTCCATTTCCAAAGGAAAGGTTTAACTGCTCACTCATCGGTCTCTGAGGCTAGTATCCCTCTTGCCAAGCTCTCTGGTAGGTTTTCCCCTTCCTCTTGTGAAACTGCCTACCTTCACCATCTCCATCATCCAAGTTGGCAAGGGGGTTCCCATGGAGAGGGAGGTCTGTCTCAGGAAGTTCTTCCTTGCCTCAGACCACAATCCCTCTTGCTGCATTTGATGCCCATTCTCTGGAAACAGTCTCAGCAGGCTGTCTCTTTATTGTGTCAGCACACTCTAGCAATACCTTGGTGTGCTCTCCTCTAAATGAATCATCCACTGGGAAGCATTCCCTCTTGTCTCACTTCACTCTCTCCTGCTGTTGCTGGTCATTACTTCCCAGCTTTGAGAGAAGAATTAAGTCAGGCCAAGCCCGGACATGAGTAACTGATTTTCAAGAAGGGACTCTGGGACTTCCCTGACAGTCCAGTGGTTAAGAATCTGCCATGCAATGCAAAGGACATGGGTTCGATCCCTGGTCAGGGAACTAAGATCCCATATGCCACAGAGCAACTCAGCCTGTGTGCTACAACTACTGAGCCCTTGCACCGCAAATAGAGAATCCACGTGCCATCATGAAAGATCCCCATGACACAAGGAAGATCCCACATGCCACAGCTCAGACCCAACATAGCCACATAATAAATGAATATTTTTTTTTAAAAAGAAGGGGCTCTATGGGCCTTGGGGGTATCACGGACAAACAGCACCTCCCTGCCCTCCCTCCCCACATCTCCTGACTTTTCAAGGAAACAAGTGTCCAAGGAGGGGCCCGAGGAGCCCTGTCCTGGAGAGGCAGCCAGGTCACTCAGCTGGACAGAGCCGGAGGAGGGCTGGAGAGAACAGATGGCACCTTCTGTCTCCTCCCCATGCCTTCCACGCTGCCCCACGGCAGGAAATGCCGGTTGGCTCAGAGGTCCTGGACCTCTAAGGGATAGGCCCCAGTGAGTGGTGACCTCATTGTGCCACAAAAAAATCAGGCTCTGCCCTCTGTACCCCCATCCACTTTCATCACTTGCAGTAACAGCGCTCTGTCCATAAAGTGAGTGCTCAGATGCCCTAGCCAGGCTCTCTCCTGCCTCCACACCTTTGCACAAGCAGTTCCTTTGGTCTGAATGCTCTTCCCTCCTTTCTAGGTCAAAGTTCACTTAGGCAACTTATCAGGCCCAGTGACATGTCACCTCTTCTCTGCCTCCATTTCAACTTCCCCACAATGTTCTGATTCAACCGAAACTCACTGTGCACAGACCATGTGCCTGGTCTTTCCTTACTTTATCCTCACTGAGTTACAGTAAGTCATTTATAGCACATTCATGCACAGAAAAAAGCTGGAAGGGCATCAATAAAGGGCACTTACAAAACCTGAATGTTTGGTTAAAGGGTGGAGGGAAATAATGGACATTTTCTTTTATCTACTTTTCTGTGCTCTCCAAATGTCAAAGTGAGCATTCTGCAATGAGGGGAAGAAACCAATGTTATTTTAACACAACATTATTTTGCTATTAATTTAAATAAAACAAACTCTTCAGTCGCTTACTGCTCCTGCCACCAGGGAGCTCTTGAGTTTGCCCCTTTTACTCTCCCCATGAGATGTGAGCAGCAGCTGCTGCTGCTGTTTCCCTAACCTAACACAGTACTGAGCTCCAAGTAGGTGTGGATGCCCCGAATCGAAAAGGAAACCACAGTAGTACCAGACCTGCCACAGCCAGAATAACAGGCAAGAGATTTCTGCATGCATGCCACTGAAGATTAACCACGATTAGCTACTCACCCCCCCCAGTTATAAAGCAGATTTTTGTTTATTCTTCATGTGATTGGCCTTTGGTTAATGTCATTCAGTTTTTAATACTTATCCCTGGACAAAGTTTTTGAGTAAACTTTACTGAGAATTTCTCTCTGCTACTGCTGCTGTATGCAATCAACTTTTGGTCTTTGCCCGTCTAAAGCTCTTTGGGGTTGGTACTGTGCCAAGCTTGTGTCTATTTGAGTGTTTTCCAACATCCCAAACAGGCTGATTTGTTTGAATCATACAAGTTGAAGATTCACTTCTTCCTGTTTCCCACAAAGCTGCCCCAGCTAGATGTTATCCAACAGGTGCTAGATTCTCAGGGTCAGGGCTGGTGGCAAATGCTTCCATGAGCCCGATTTGGGTTTTGGTGTGAAAATGATGATTTCCTTTTCCAGAGAATGGAGGGTGGTGGGTATAGGGCTGTCTCAGAGACATGGAGGCTGGAAGCTTGATCTGAGTCCCTGCTATGGCCTAGGATTCCCACTTGACTGTGAGAACTCCCCTACTTCTCAAAGTCCCCATGCCTCTCCTCTTGCCGCACCTTCTGCAAGGCTGGGAGCATCGGGCATCTGACAATGGAGTGGGGGGCACGGGGATCTAGCCAAGGGTCTCACCAGCTCTGTACCAGCTGCACCGAGGGTGTGCTCAGCACCCGGTCAGGAAGCAGGTTGATCTCCTTCATGATGTTGGCCAGGCGCACAGGCAGCTCCTGCCTGAGGAAAGTGAACGACGTTTTCTCACAGGCATTGCTGGACCCTGGTGGGAGAGGGAAAGGTGAGCCTAAGAGTTACAAAGCACTGGAGCCAGAAGACCTCTGAGTGGTGGGGAAGAGGGTCAGGTCACTAAATACTTCATTTCCTGAGGGTTCAGAAGAGACAAGACGACAAGGAGGCACAGGATAAGGGTCCCTCCTGACCCAAGCAGTGACCGCCACACTACCCAGCCTAACCCTCAGGGAGGTTGTGTCCTTTCCCCACCTCCAGCTGAATCCTGCTTGCCTTCAACCACAGGGGACAGGGCCACCCTGGGCCCACGGGGTGCTGCCTCCAGCCCAAGTTCTCTCACTTCTTCTCTTTCTTTTCCCTCCTAGTAGACACTCACTTTGCGGGGCTTGAGCCAGGTGGCCAGAGGAGCCTGGGAAACCCATCCTACTTTGAGATGAGCTCCCCTGGCTGAGGGAAGCTATGCTCAGACCACTGCAGCATAGGGTCCCGGCATCATCTTGGCCCAGGTGGTCTTTATGTCCACAGTAGACTTGCCCCTACATTAATGCCCACCCACCTGAGAGGTAGACAGGGTCGGGGAACTGGGGCCCAAATACTTACAGATTCTTGGTCTGGCTTGAAGAAGAAGAGCGGGTAGAGGACTGAATGATGCCATGGCCTAGAGTCAGGAGACCTGGGTTCTAAGTCCAGGTTCTGCCTTTAACTCTGTCACCCAGGGCGTGTCATTATCCCTCTGAAGATCTGTTTTACCCACTGGACTCCAAGTGGACCACTCTACTCTGAGTGCCTCCCTGCTGTGACAGTTCTGTTAACTGGGGTCCAGTGTGGACTAGACAACTGCTGGAGGCTGGGAGTGGGCTCAGGAAGCTTTCCTACATGGCGGGAGCTCAGATATGGAGGGAAGCAGGTGAACAAGTATCGGGCAACAGATGCCCTGTGTCCTGGCTGCCACCTCCCCGCCCCCTGCCATCAGTGACGCAGCTGTAACCTGAGCCAGGCACTGTCTCCTCAACTCTTGAGAGACCTGGGCAACCCCTTCTAATCCCCAGCTGGCACCATAGAAATTCCGTGTGAACAGACACTGTCCACACAATGCCTGTTTCAGTCACCATGTTGGCACAGCCTTGCCACTCCCAGAACACTGGTGGTAGGTGACCCTGGCCCAGGAACCCAGGGGCAGCTAAGGATGGGTACAAGCTGTCTGGCTCCATTTCACGGTGCCCCGGACCCCTACCCAGCTGGGGACAGATGGCCAGGCCACAGTAGATTTGATCTTCAAGTGTCCTTGCTCTCCAGGACAGCTGGGGGCCAGCTCTTTCAGTGCGGGGAGGTGTACCAGTCAGGGCCTCTTTCCTGCTGACTCCTCTTAAAGAGTACCTCCTGCTAACAGACCCCCAGGGCAGGTCTTCTTCCCGAGGCTGCACCTTGCAATGCCCCCTAGTCACTCCCATAACACCCCCATTTCCTCTCTGACCTTTACTCTTGGAATCGCCAGGACAATCCCCAGTAACCCTTTAGTGCCTGGATACAATCTCCTGCTCCAATGGCACGGCCTCACGCCCCTTCCCCTCCAAGACTCCTCACAAAACCCAGGAAGACACCGTAGACCCCCCTTCTCAGTGCCCCCCACTTCCCCCTAACAGCCCAGTCTCTTCAGCCGGGGTGCCCTTAACCCTTTCGAGCACAACCGGCCCCAGCCTCCCCGTTAACTCTTTCCTGTCTGAACTCCTGCAAGCAAACCTTCCCTGTCACTCGGCCTCCCTTAGCCTCCGAGTTAACCCTTCATGACCAGGACTCCTTCACCCCCCACTCCCGCCCCTCGCAGACCCCCCGCGGCCAGCCGCCTCCCGCTCACTCGTACCGAAGTCCAGAAACTGCTTCATGGACAGCGGGGATGGGGAGAACTTGCTGAAGTGCTCGATGTATTTGGGTGCCCCTGCCAGGGACGCATTCTTCAGCAGCGCGCGGACCCAGCGCATGGCGGTGGCGACCCCTTCTCGGGCTCGGGCTCTGGACCCTGCGCGAGCAGCGCTGGCGCTCGGCTCAGCCCAGCCCGCCCCGGTGCCGCGGCGGCCGCCTCCTCCCCACCTCGACCCCAGCTAGCCTCCGAGTCCCGGCCAATTGGCTTGTTGCAGCGCCGCGACGTCGCTAATGGCGTCTCACAAACAACTCCAGGAGAGCCAATAGCGTCTCGACCCGGCACGTGGCTACCCCCTGGGCCCGCCCCCTTAACCCAGTGTTTGTCCGGAGCGGCCTGTTGTTTTCGAGAGGCAGCGCTGAGAGCCCGCGCTGAGAGCCCGCCTCCCACGTCACCACGCGTGTTCCTCCTCCCAGCCTAGCCCGGATTAACCCCTCCCTCCCCAAAGGCCCGTTATTCCCTTTCCTCGTACACTCCGTTTCCCCGATCCCTCCCCGAATCTCCTTCACTTGCCTGCCCCGAGGTTGTCCGGTAGCTTTCTACGCATCTTCTTCCGCCCNTTCCTCCTCCCGGCCTAGCCCGGATTAACCCCTCCCTCCCCAAAGGCCCGTTATTCCCTTTCCTCGTACACTCCGTTTCCCCGATCCCTCCCCGAATCTCCTTCACTTGCCTGCCCCGAGGTTGTCCGGTAGCTTTCTACGCATCTTCTTCCGCCCACAAGGGCCCGATCCACCTGTCCTGATCTCCACCCACCTGCTCTCCCTCAGGGCGTCTGGTGGGTTCCCAGTCTGGAAGACAGTGACTCGACTGTGGATGGATCGGGATGCGAGCCCATGCTAATCCCTCATATAGACGTGTAACACACCTACTTCCACAAAGATCCAAGCAGCTCAGGACAAGGCAGCATTTTGCTTTTCCAGTTAAAAAGCTCGTGTCAACCCCCTCACTAACGCCTAGCGGCGGCTACAATAAACTTTTAAAACCACCTTTATTTTATTATTCTCTACTCATTTGACCTGAGAAAGCAACCTTTTTAGCACTTGGCTTTCTTAGAGAAAGGTCCTGGAAGGTGATCTGTGCTGGAGGCCAAGAGCGGGCACTTCTCAGCAACCGGCACTTCACAGCAGCCCGGATCTCTCGTGGGAACGTAGCTCGTCCTCTTGGCCGGATATGTCCTGTCCCCGCATCCCACCCACTTGCCCCTATGAGGTGTTTTTCTCTTCAGTCCTTGGCCCACACTCACCAAGTGCCAAATAGTTGCCAGGCTTATATGCTGGGAACGGGAAACACAGACAGGATTGGGACATGGTCTTTTGCCTTGATTATTTCACTTCTCAGTCTGAGAGAGCTGCATAAGTAAATAATTAAATAGTTACAACAGACTGCATTTATAACTAATGCAGAGCTATGTGCAAGTCTTCACAATGGAAGGGACTCTCTTAGCTGAATGAATACTATGCCCTATGCCAGGCACTCTTTGCATGCATCATCTCATTGAATTCTCCAGACAGCTTGACCGTGCTACTGTCACCACCATTTTACAGTTGAGGAAACAGGTTCAGGTACCATTTTCCACTGCAAATCTGAAGGTGTTACTTCCCTTGCTCACAGCCTTGGCCTTCACTTCTTACTGGAGCCTTTCCAGTTCTCACATGATCTGCTTTGGTTTAACTCTCTGGCCTCATCTCTTCCACACTCCCCTGCTCAAGTCCCACCCATACTTATCTAGTGCCTTGAACCAGACTTCAATCTCCCCACTGTTGCAAATGATGTCTCCTACCCATGGATCATTCTTTCTTCTCACTTTCGCCTACCCACTCTTCTGCACTCACCAAAATCATCAATGACCTAAATGCTAGCTGAATGGAGTACGGGTAACAAAATGCACAAATCCTCAAATTTTCCACTATATGTTCAACTTGGGTTGGTGGGGTGTTCCCAGGGACTCAGACTGACAGAAACTTTATCTCAACACAGGCTTCCACAGCATCAGAGCCAGGAGAAGCAGAACTGGGAATCTCACCCAGCAATTAACTGTCTCAGCCCAGAACTGGTCCCCTTCCCTCCGGCTGACAACTCATTAGCCAGGCTGAGTTATGGGCTCCCTCCAAAGGTCCTCAGGCCTCCTGATCTAGCACTATTTTAGCTCTTAACACACAGCATGGTAATCATCTGCTGACTCATCTGTCTCCCCAGCTAGGCTTTAAGCTCTGTGAGGGCGGGCCTGTGTTGGTCTTATTCACTGCTCTGTCTCCAGTACCAGATACAGCACATTGAAGGGAAAAGAAGGTGAAACAAGAAGTTGGAGTCACTGGGAAGACATGCCACAGAGATATCAAAGACCACCAAAATCCATCCATCTCGCAATTAGATCATTGATGATATTGGTGAATGCAGTCTTCAAGTTGCCCAGAAGAGAATATTAAATCCTATATGTAAAAAGCTGAGCCCTGTGCCTGGCACACAGTAAATAATAAATAGCAACTATTACTACTACTGTCGAAATTAAAGTAACAAGGAAAAGGCTGTAACCTCTGAGGCTATGTGTAAAAGACAAAGATTTCCCATGATTTTCTCTTTAGAGCTGGACTTCCTAATGGGGGCTCTGAGTTGGATCAAATTTCTCCTGCAGAGTGGTAATGGGAGTGGCGTGGAGTGGTATATCAATCAAGTTAGGTTAGGTGATGGGAAGTAACAAAACTCGCAAATCCCCAAATTTCCCACTGTATGTACAACTTGGGTTGGTAGGGAGTTCTCAGGGACTCAGACTGACAGAAGCTTTATTTCAACACAGGCATCTACAGCATCAGAGCCGGAAGAAGCAGAACTGGGAGAGTCTCACCCAGCAATTAACTGTCTCAGCCCAGAACTGATCCCTTTCTCTCCGGCTGACAACTCATTGGCCAGAATAGCATCATCCAACCAGGAGGACCTAGGAAGTGCAATCCAGCCCTGTGCTCAGGAGAGGGAGAATAATCTGATGGTTTGTTTCGTTTTGTTTTAACTGATACAAGAGCCAAGATACTTCTTTTAAAGTGTTTGGAGTTACTGCAGCTCCAAGGAACTCAATAAGCTTGGCATAATACAGGGTTTTTTCGTATAAAGTGGGCATTGCTGGATCTCTGCCAGTATGTTTCTTTCATGAAAGTATAGCTACAACAGTCCTGAAAATGTCTACTTACTTTTGCAAGTGTGTGTGAGACAGATGGTATGTTTTCATCCAAACAAGTGCTCACAGGAGATGGGAGGCTGGGCCCATGCACTGGTCAGAGCGATATATAGATCCCACTTCATTCTTCAGTGGTGGCAAAGGACTGGACTGAGCTGCACTGAACTCTGATCAACTTGAGCTGGGCTTTGACCACCTACATGTGTGTTTTTTTTGACCTAGTGAATAACCCGGATTTGGAGAACAAACTGAGGTCTCTGGTTACTGGTCCTGGAAGTTCTGGGTAGGGGCTGGGGTTTTCCTGGAGGAACTAGACATCTCACTGTCCATGACAAATCTCAGCACAGAAAATGAGGCAGCAGGCTCTCATAGAGAGGGTAGAGGGCAGACAGCTGCCACAGGGGGGCCGTCTGAGGCAGCTGAAGCTGAATTGAAGATCTGCCTCTAGGCTTTTCTGAGTAGTAATTTCCAGCCTTGTCAAAAGGACTTCCCTGGTGATTCAGACGGTAAAGAGTCTGCCTGCAATGCAGGAGACCCAGGTTCAATTCCTGGGTCGGGAAGATCCCCTGGAGAAGGACATGGCAACCCACTCCAGTATTCTTGCCTGGGAAATCCCACGGACAGAGGAGCCTGGCAGGCTACAGTCCATGGGGTCACAAAGAGTTGGACATGACTAAGCAACTAATACTTCTTGTCAAAGGTCCTTGGGAACAATTAACAGAAGGACTTGTGACACAATTTAGGACAGAGAAGTCACAGGATAAGCAGCCTTGGTCCATCCCCCAGGTCTGTGAGGCTTGGTTTTGGCACTAGCAGAGGCTGGGACACGCATGTCCACGCACCATTCAGGGTGCACAAGCACAGTCTGCAGCC